TCAAAGTCAAGATCTGGATAAGCTCCAATGGCTACCAAAAAGAAATTGTCTCAGAGAAGCTTGAAATTTCAATGAAAGATCTTCATGAAACCAAAAAATTGAATATCTCTGAACAGGCACGATGTAAATCATTTAATTCTTATGATAAACTAACACTCAACGTGCTTGGTAAGTTTCTTGATGAGGCTATTGATCGTGAGTATGATGATGAAAGTAAATGGACACAGATGTTTGAGTTAGGTGGAGAGATACCTCCTGTAGAACCTATATTTGACTGGGATGACAGTACACATGAATTATGGTTAAAGGATGAACAAGTTGACAGTTTGAAAGGATGTTTTACTTATGCAATTTTCCAAGGAAATATAACACTTTCAGGAACAAATGAAGGATTTAAGATAGAATCCAATCTCTACTGTCGCTATAAATCCTTCCAAATCGTCTTGCAAAATAATTCTCTAGTTCACAGCTATCATCCGAAATTTAATTTGAAATATTTAGTAAATATTACATTGGAAATTCTTAATCTTTCTTTCAGGCAGTGCGCTTTTTTAGATCTTGAAATAGAGTGTATTGATAAAAAGGCAAAGGTTCCTGAAACGTTTAATGAAAGGTTTAGATCAGATAATGGATTTATTATTCCGGCAGAGAAATTCATGAACAAGCGATGTAGAGTCAGAGGCTATTCTGATCAATATATTGAAATTTCTCCTCCTGAGGAAATAGGCTATTTGCTCCCTATGGGAATTGTAACTGCACTGCTATTAACTTTGATTCTGATTGGAGCGTTGCTGTTTATATACAGGTAGAGACATGGGCGTGTTCGCATTTTTTATCATTTTTAGCGCTCAGTGTTCGTGAAAAAAAAGTTTCTTGAGTTTTATTTCAATCGTTCAAAAAAAATTAATTTTGTATATTTTCTATTTAAATCTTAGTTTTCTCAGTGAATGATTGTTTAGTAAAAACGTTCGTTAAGTAAAATTGTTAGTTTATAAAAATATTTCGTTCAATCAAATCATTTGTTCATTAAGAGAATCAATAGTTTTTTCAAAAGATTGTTGGAAAAATGCGTTTATGGTAAATAAACTATCGTTTTTAAAAAAATCGTTTGTTCAGTAAAAAACGATCGTTTTTTCAAAATTTTTTTTTGAAAAAATTAGTTCATTTAGTAAAAAGAACAATCAGTTTATTCACTTTCATTTTAACGATTTTAAATTGTTCATATTTATTTCTTTTGTTCGTTTTTAAAAATCGTTCATGAAAAAATTCGTTCGTTTTAAAATAGGTTCAATGACAAAGACGATGCCCATCTCTATATACAGGGACAAGGTTCAAAATATGCAATTCAAGTTTACCAGTTCCCTGCAAGATCTTCACAAGAAAAAAGAAAAAGTAAAAGACATTTCTTCTGCCGTGAGACTCAAAATGGACGACATTGTTAATTTGAATAAAGAGTTTGAAAAATTGGATAAAATATCCCGTGAGGAGATTGAACCCAAAGAAACTTTTAAGATAGCTACCAGTCCAGAGGTAGTCAAGAACCAAAGGAACAGATACAAAAATATTTTACCCTTTGATTCCAATGTTGTTATGCTAGATACACCTAAAGGTAACTTATACTTTATGCTGAGGAAAATAACCACTGTGTAATCTGATTTGCTCTTGTCAAATTTCATTGTTTTCTTAGTGTGTTTGTTTTTGCTTTCAAAAAATAGATGATTGTTTCACAAAATTTAAAAGTTAAAATTCTTATATCTATCCCATCATGATAAAACATGTTAAACCTTATACATAAGCTTTGCAAAAAGTAAATAGAAGAAAATATGTTTAATCTGCTCATTTGTGACCTTTAAATTCTATCAAAGTGATAAATAAGTCTTTGATAACTCTTAATAAGTTGAACACAACAAAAATAATTTCCTTTAAAGGGACTGTTACTGTAATTTCAAATGATTTTCACTGCAAAGATGTCAATGTTACCCTTAACAGCTTTTTCTGATCAAGTATGAGTAAGATCTTTAAATTACGCCATCCCATTAACAGGTGATTATTTTTAGGTGAGGTTCCTCTACCATATGTGAATGCATTTGACATTAAATTCAATGGTTTCAAACAAACCTATCTGGCAGTTCAGGTTTATATCTCAAAAAGGATTGAGTCTTTGCCACAAACTCTGATTTTTAAATCCCAATATCTTAACAACCCAATGTTATAGACCTTAGATATTTCAAACTATGACTTCTGTTATATCAAGAAATCAAAGTTTGAAATATCAAAGGTTTTAATTTGGTTGTAGATATATATAGGTATTAGAAAATTGGGATTTGTTGCAAAGACTCGATTCCTTTCTTGTTATTTATTGTTAAAATATTATCTTTTTCCTACAAAAGATTCTGTTGGAAATTGCAGTATAGCTTGGGAAACAGCTTTCCCTAGAAACTAAGTTTTCCATATTAAAGTCAACCCACTCAACTTATATTTTCATTTCAATATAATTATTTGTAAACATCTATTTTCGGAAAACTTGTTTGCTTTTAGGCTCCGAAAGTGAAGGCAATGCCCAGTTTCTGGCAGATGGTTTTAGAAAGAAAAGTTAGAATAATTGTCATGATCACAGGGCTAGTTGAGAACAAGAGGTAGGTTGAAAAGAAGGAATTACAGGGCTAGTTAAGAACAAGAGGTAGGTTGGAAAGAAGGAATTATTGTCATGATTACAGGGCTAGTTGAGAACAATAGGTAGGTTGGAAAGTTTTTTTTTGCAGAAAGAATGAAAAAACTTTTTCACCCCTGAGGGGGAGTAATTCTTTAAATTTTACACCCCTGGTTCTTTTACTACTCTATTTATAATCATTTATTTTTTCCGTTTTTGCAAAAAATAGATCATTAAAAATCAGATTGGGATAATACTTAAATCATACACCCTGATTCTTTCCCTTCTTTGATCATATTTCAAATCAATAATGTAACTATTCTTCATATAGTTCTTCATTTCATATGGCTATTTATGCAGGAAAGAATTACTCTGGAAGAGTATACTCTCCTATCCTTTTTTGGGAATCAGTATAGGTTAGTATCATGTTTTATCTAGTAAACCTTTAAAATAAAAAAAGATAAATATTAAAATTGAAAATTTGAGTTTTGCTGTTTAATTAACAAAGTCCATTTGCTCTCGGATTCACGATGTTTGCTCTCGACTAGATTCGCTCTAGAGACAATTTGCTCTTTGCTGTTTTTAAGGGCTAAGTCATGCTACTGAGGTGTGCAGACTACATAATGGGTCGGTTTAGTTAGAAAAGGTCATGAGTGACTACTGACTAGTGACTGCTAGGATAGGTTTTAAGTCTAATATAGATGAAAAAACAAATGATGTGTTTAGTCACAAAGCAATTGATTTATATAGCAAATTACGTCCTGGGCAAATGGTCCATAGAGTTAATGAGGTACATGAGTAAATTGCCATAGAGCGAAAGGTTATAGAGCAGATTTTTATCACCAATTGATGAGACAATTTAAGTATTTTTTTTTAGGAATTATCAGAAACAAGTTTGGACCGGAATACCCGGAATCAAAGGATACATGGGTCTAATGCCCTGGATACAAGAGTTGGATGACTGCTTGGATAAAAGCCATCCATATTAAACTAATATACTGAAATTCTTGATCATTATTTTCTTAATTTTGATACGTAACATAGTTTTTTTTTGGATATTTTTGTTGTAACAATACATCACTATAATTTAAAGAAAATTAAACAAAACTAGATAACTAGATTTTTTTTAATAAGTAAACACTATAATTGATTAACTCTTTGATCTCCTATATATACTAAATATTTGCTTCTTGTGTCAGAACTTTGGTGAATTTATTCATCCTAGAGGAACATCAAATGTTTGAAAATGCTTTCTCGGTTTTTAGAGGACCGTTGTAATTTCTTGTTTGAGCTTATATTTGTTGCTCGTACCTTGTCCATAACAACGTGTTTCATTTAACAGTTACTTGTGATTAAAATCCGTCTTAAAATGATGTTTAATTTTTGTAAAATTGTCACGTTTGTATTAGCGTTAGTATTGAAATAATACCTTTTTTATAATCTTTTCCATATAATTGTTAAATAAAAAACAGAAGAAAAGTAAAGATTGCTTCTGCAAAAAAAATTCAAATGACCCTCCATTTATGAAACAGGATATTTGATTTACAATTTTATCCTTTCAACAGCTTATGAATTTAGATAAATATCCTAATTGTTGTAGCTGAAAGACTTTGGTCCATTGAAGTTTCCATTTAAGTCACCTGCGGATTTTTAAAATAAGGAATGAAGATATCTTGCTTACTTTTAATCAGATAAAGAGTTAGAGGGCACAGTTATCAACTCGTCAGCAATTTACTGACATTTAAAAATGTACAGTAAGAATCAGATACCTCTGAAATAGAAAGACGACTTTTAGTATGACTTTAAATATTCCTATGAACATGAAACAAACCAGTCGTAAACAAACTTATTTCACTTGATACTTGATAAAATTAGCAAATCATTTAATTTGTAACATCATCAAGTACACTTAAGTATTGATTTAATGCCGTATTCCTATTCCACATGTTTTCTTGTTCTGACTGTAGCAATTAAAATATTCGCGGGTTTTTCTGTGGATTTCTAATTTTTTGACAAACTAAAAATTTGACAGGGCAACATTTCTAAATTTCGACTTCAAAAAGGAGTTGGGAGTTATGACAACAAATATTAAACTAATCTACTCAGCTGTATTGACGTTTATTTGACACAATATTCACATTTTTTTTATTTGCGTTCAAATAGGAGATTAAATTATGAATCCTGTTTTTTTACTGTAAAAAGTTGGTTTTCATTTTCATTTAAAGATTTGACATCAAGTCCAGAGTTTTTTATTCCAAAGATTTTCCCAAGAAAACCGGAAGTTAATCTCCGGATATTTTTTATTTTTATGTTTCACTGAGCAGCGATGTATTAGAACTGAGAGATAGTGAAGAAATGATATCATTGATATAAACATTTACTCGGCTTCACTCCGCGCGTTTCCGCCAGGATGACAGCGTTGAAATCTACGAAAAAATTTTAAATAATCAAAAATTATTTCAACAATTTATTTTATAAAAAAAACTGCCTCCCCCCCTTCGTTAAACTTTTCTTTTAAACATCGATAGTATAACTTGAAAAAATGTAAATTTTACCATCAGTTTCGTTTTTTTCTGTCGAAATGATTTGAGATTGTCCTTTTCCAAAAAATAAAATTTCTCATAAAAAGAGTTTTTCCTAATAACAAAAAAAGTAAGTAAGAAAGAAAATAAAGAAAAAAATTTGCTCTCTATAGCCATTCAAAACTTCCTTTATATAAGGCATAAGCAGTGAAAAAGTATACCATGGCATTTTAGACCTAATCCAATTACTGCATTTATTATTCTTTCTAAGGCCACAACTTATGTATCGTGATCCTGTGACTTAATCCACTGCAGACAGATCAACCTGAGATATTGAAAACATAATTGATGTCAGATTTGTCCGAATTAGCGCATTAAAGGGACTGTAAACGTAATTTCAAGAAGTATTTAATTCTTTAAAAAGGAGGAAGTCCGATGCACAATGGTACCCTTAATCCGCTTTTTTCATCAAGACATTAATCTCTTTAAAAATTAATTATTTTCAGTTGTGGTTTCTCTAAAAAAGAAACAATGGAAGGTATATATTAGAACTATCTCCTTCTCAATGTATAAAAACGACAACATTTTTCAAAATTTTGATTAACTGAAGGTTTAAAGGATATCGTTGTAGAACTGAGGGTGACTTTAAATATCAACCACAGTCCCTTTAAACCCAGTTCAATGATTTGAACTTGAATATCTTAACCGGGGGGGNATTACAAATTACCAGGTCTGGATGATGCAGGTTAAACCAGAATCCCTAGAAAATGATTGACAGGTTGACAGGTTGACAAGTTGACACAAGGTCGATATTTCAAGTTTAGATTATTATTAATTAGTTTCCGGGTTAATTTATCACACAGTGGGAACCAGAAATATTCAGACTGAAAAGACGACGGTTAGACTTAAATTTTGATTTTATATATAGTCCAGTAAACATGAAACCCACCAATTGGGCAGTGAGCACAGGCCCATCTCACTTTCAGTTAAACTATTTGCTAATTCATTACAAAATATAATAGACCCTATTTTTTTGCTTTCTTACTTTAAATGAGATCAATTCTGTCAATTTCCGTCATTTTCTCTGTTGCATGTATTAACAAGTGACTTTTATAGAGAATCACAATCTTGTTAAATTCTAATTGGAAAACATGGCGATCACTAACATTTTTTAACAAAAAAAGGTTTATAGGTTTCCATGATGAATTAGTAATGTAACAGCTTTTAATAGCGTTATCAGTCTCTTTGAACTTGATTATAGAGAGGCTGGGAGCAAATAGATTCAAGTACGAGAGACCATAGTTTACATTTTTCTTTTTCTTTTTCTTTTTCTTAAGGCATAATATTTTTCAAAAAATGAACAATGTATATTGTTAAACTTTCAAAGATTTTTTATTGAAAAAATGTTATGCCATTATTATATGAAAAGCAATTTTTATCACAGTAAAAATTTGTAATGTCTGTCTTTTAGCTATATTGGTGAAAACATATATTTATATTTATATTGATAGTAAAGAGGCTTCAACATAAAAACTTAAATTTTATTGTATCAACATTATGTTTGATTCAATGGAGGATTTTTTAAGTATTGACAAAAAACTAAAATTTATAACATTTTCCCAATTATTCAACTTTTTTGCTTAATTTAGTAGATTTAAGGAAATGTTTCTTATCATAGAACAGAATTGTTGTTAGTTAAATGATAATGGCGTGCTTGTCAACTAATTTGGTATTATTACTTCTAGCGTATTCGTTTCAACCATACTTCACCTTTGAAATAAAGAAGAATAAAGATGAGCTGCTGTGTGCTTCAGGAAAATTAGATTTTTATAAGTATGAAGAGGATTTAAATCCAAAACATGTCTCGTTCCTTATCAAAACATCATTAAGAGGTTTTATATTGTTGTCCCAAAATTTGAATACGTCATTGTTGGTAAAGCACTCTTATCGAGAGAACAGTACACAGTTGTTTAACTCCAAAAATGAATACCATACAAGTAATGGTCCGCCAATACTCAATCTGCTGAGGATTACAGTAGATATCAGAGATTTGTGCTTCACTGGAGATTTCATGCTTGCAATGAGGAACTGCTCAGAATTTGATGTTCAAATACCTATAATAAAAATAAATGCTCAGCGCAACCTCCTCAGGAAAATATCAGAAAAGTACAAAAATAAAACCAATTTGATACAAATCAGTAAAACATCTGTTGGAAAACTTAAGCTGGAGAAACTTGATGCTTTCAAAGTTTTAAATGAATTCAATTGTCCGGACATCAAAGTCAAGATCTGGATAAGCTACCAAAAAGAAATTGTCTCACAGAAGCTTGAAATTTCAATGAAAGATCTTCATGAAACTGAAGAATTGAATATCTCTGAACAGGCACGATGTAAATCATTTAAATCTTATGATAAACTAACACTCAACGTGCTTGGTAAGTTTCTTGATGAGGCTACTGATCGTGAGTATGGTGATGAAAGTAAATTGACACAGATGTTTGAGTTAGGTGGAGAGATACCTCCTGTAGAACCTATATTTGCCTGGGATGACAGTACACATGAATTATGGTTAAAGGATGAACAAGTTGACAGTTTGAAAGGATGTTTTACTAATGCAATTTTCCAAGGAAGAATAAAACGTTCAGGAACAAATGAAGGATTTAAGATAGAATCCAATCTCTACTGCCGCTACAAATCCTTCCAAATCTCCGTGCAAAATAATTCTCTAGTTCACAGCTATCATCCGAAATTTAATTTGAAATATTCAGTAAATATTACATTGGAAATTCTTAATCTTCCTTTCAGGCAGTGCGCTTCTTTAGAGCTTGAAATAGAGTGTATTGATAAAAAAGCAAAGGTTCCTGTAAAGGGGTATAGGCTGAAACCTGAGAATCTCAGGAGTTGGACGATACCTGTAAGACAGATTTGCTGCGTATTTGTTGAATATGATCTGTTCAAATCTATGAATCTTATACAAAATCTTACATATATACGTTTTGGTATGATGTTGACACCGTTTTATATCAATTTCTTGAGACAGGAACATCAGATAGATGTCTTATATGTCTCAATCAACTCCTGAGCTTCTCAGGTTTCAGCCTATACCCCCTTTGATTTTTCCTTTACAGTCCCTTTAATATCAATAAATCAACATTTGGAATCGTATTAGATGGAATTATATTGATCCCCGCTTCAACGTATTCAAATCTTACCCAACATAATGTCCGGAGTTTGAACTCCGTCCTTTATGGGTGAGAACTGCTTGAAGACTGTAGTATCCAGAGTTATTTGATCCTAATAGAAATATAAGGCTTAGGCTCAATATTATTTCGAGATTCGAGTTGTGTCAACTCAAGGTTTAATGTTTATCATAGCTCGAGATTCGAGTTGTGTCAACTCAAGGTTCATTGTTTATCATTCTTCGATATTCGACTTGTGTTCACTCAAGGCTTAGGCTCAATAATACTTCGAGATTCGAGTTGTGTTAACTCAAGGTTTAATGTTTATCATAGCTCGAGATTCGAGTTGTGTCAACTCAAGGTTTAATGTTTATCATAGTTCGAGATTCGAGTTGTGTCAACTCAAGGTTTAATGTTTATCATAGTTCGAGATTCGAGTTGTGTTAACTCAGGGTCTAATGTTTATCATAGCTCGAGATTCGAGTTGTGATAACTCAAGGTTTAATGTTTATCATAGTTCGAGATTCGAGTTGTGTCAACTCAAGGTTTAATGTTTATCATAGTTCGAGATTCGAGTTTTTTTAACTTAAGGTTTAATGTTTATCATTCTTCGAGATTCGAGTTGTGTTCACTAAAGGTTTAATGTTTATCATTCTTCGAGATTCGAGTTGTTTTAACTCAAGGTTTATTGTTATTGGGGGGAAATATTCCCACAACCTCTACTTTTAGAGGTTTTTAAATATTTTCTCCTTAAACACTTTATTTTGTATGTTTTTGTTATATTTCATAGATAAATAATTTTTTACTTTACTTTTTACTTTATTGTGAATTCAAGCTTTAGGATCAATCATTCTTCGAGATTCGAGTTTTGTGAATTTAAAATTAAGCTAATTAAAGGGACTTGGGCGTAATTTCAATGTAGAGTGGCGGGTCTATCTCTACACTCTACAGTGCCTTTAATCGAATCTTTCTTCTCAAAACGATTTTCAAAAAAGTTAAAACTTATGATTTTTGATAATTTCCCCCCAAAATTTGGGATGTAAAAAAAAACCAAAACTGTATACTGTATAGTATATATACCCTTGTAATACCTTTGTCGTCCTCAAACCACCAGTCCTCAACCTCGGCTTCGGTCAAGTCCTAGAAAAAAGGAACATTTTATCTACTAATTCAATTGTTTTTATCCCAATATGAATAAAAAATAAATTAATTATAATTTTTCGATTGCAATTAAAATCAAAAGTCATTCTGTTCAAAATGTTCAAAGTAAAAGGGACAAAATTTCAAGATTCCTGCTATTTATTGAGTAGCATAACCGATTCAATTGATGAATGAATAAATTTTTAAGCTGAAAACTGATTGTATTTGCATTGGTGTGATTTTAAGCATTTGACTTAATGCAGATATATGCAGCTGAAGAAGTGACGAATTTTGAGACAGAAAATTGACGATATCATCCTGGTTATTAAAGTAAAGGGAGTGTTCGCAAAAAATGAAAGGGGGTATAGGCTTACGACTAAAATAAGTGTTTTTCATCGCTACGGTGCATAGGAAATCGATCTATAATCCTTTTGATCTAAATTTACCCTTTGATTCCAATGTTGTTATGCTAGATACGCCTAAAGGTAACTTATACTTTATGCTGAGGAAAATAACCACTGTGTAATCTGGTTTGCTTCTGTCAAATTTCATTGTTTTCTTAGTGTGTTTGTTTTTGCTTTAAAAAAATAGATGATTGTTTCACAAAGTTTAAAAGTTAAAATTCTTATATCTATCCCATCATGATAAAACATGTAAAACCTTACATATCGCTTTGTCCCTCGTAAGCGGGTAAGCTTTGCAAAAAGTAAATAGAAGAAAATATGTTTAATCTGCTCATTTGTGACCTTTAAATTGTATCAAAGTGATAAATAAGTTTAACTTTTGATAAGTTGAACACAACAAAAATAATTTCCTTAAAAGGGACTGTTAGTGTAATTTCAAATGACCTTCTATGCAAAGATGTCAATGTTACCCTTAACAGCTTAACCCTTAACAGTATGAGTAAAATATTAATGTTTTTGATTTTAAAAACTGATTATTTTCACTTGGGGGTTCTCTACAAAAGTGACATTCAAATTTCCACTGCAGGAATACATTTAGAAATGATCAGAACTAATTACTTAAAAACTATAGATAGATGACGATATATTTCACATTATTGGTCACATAAAGTTCCAAGGGTACCTTAGTGAACCTGGTATTGTAACTTTAAATTACGCTTATAGTCCCTTTAACAGGTTATGATTTATAGGTGAGGTTCCTCTACCGTATGTGAATGCATCTGACATTAAATTCAATGGTTTTAAACAAACCTATCTGGCAGTTCAGGTTTATATCTCAAAAAGAATTGATTCTTTGCCGCAAACTCTGATTTTTAAATCCCAATATCTTAACAACCCAATGTTGTAGACCTTATATATTTCAAACTATGACTTCTGTTATATCAAACAATTAAAGTTTGAAATATCAAAGGTTTACATAATTTGGTTGTAGATATATAGGTTTCAGAAAATTGGGATTGGGATTTATTGTTAAAATATTTTCTTTTTCCTACAAAAGATTCTGTTGGAAATTGCAGTATAGCTTGGGAAACAGCTTTCCCTAGAAACTAAGTTTTCCCTATTAAAGTCACCCCACTCAACTTATATTTTCATTTCAATATATTTATCTGTAAACATCTATTTTCGGAAAACTTGATTGCTTTTAGGCTCCGAAAGTGAAGGCAATGCCCAGCTTCTGGCAGATGGTTTTAGAAAGAAAAGTTAGAATAATTGTCATGATCACAGGGCTAGTTGAGAACAAGAGGTAGGTTGGAAAGAAGGAATTATTGTCATGATTACAGGGCTAGTTGAGAACAAGAGGTAGGTTGGAAAGTAGGAATTATTGTTATGATTACAGGGTTAGTTGAGAACAAGAGGTAGGTTGGAAAGTAGGAATTATTGTTATGATTACAGGGCTAGTTGAGAACAAGAGGTAGGTTGGAAAGAAGAAATTATTGTTATGATCACAGTACTAGTTGAGAACAAGAGGTAGGTTGGAAAGAAGGAATTATTGTTATGATCACAGGGCTAGTTGAGAACAAAAGGTAGGTTGGAAAGAAGGAATCTTAAAAAGTGTTAAATTGTTAAGAAATGGTAAAAATTGCACATTTTCTGCCTAGGATAAAAGCTGATCGTTATTGGCCGGAAGAAGAAGATGACTTGATTGTTTTTGGTAATTTTATTTTTCCATTAATATAGAAAGTAAGATTTTGTTCAGAATATATAAAAGTCAATCAACTCAACTTAAATTCAGGAGTTGTGATCGGACTTTTAAACAAACAGACAGACAGGCAGACATCGATTACTACTTTATATATGCGGGAAACAAATATACACATACCGTGGGATCCATAAAACTGTGGAATAGGATGAATACTGTTAGACTTAAGTTATAATTTTGAAATGTTTCAGAAGATATAAAAATTACTTTCTTGGATCAGTCCTATAATGGCTCATTTTTCACAAGACACCTGGAATTGGAGGTAGAGGGGGCATTTTTAATTTATAAAAAATAGAATCTCAAAATTTTAAAAATAACAGTGTTGAAGTCTGAAAAGTTATCATAATAAAGCTCTTCGCCCGTACATGTATGTCTTTGACTAAGATTTTCTCCGGCAGCCAAACCAAACATTATCTCTGATGAACAGTGTAACAGTGGGATGTTTAGCTTTAGTAGTTCTCACCACCCATTTCGAGATCATCCCCTTTTCAACTCAACAATATCTTAGCTTTTTCAATACATTTTTCAACTTAAATTTTTCTAAACATTTAATAAAAGTAATGATTCATGACAATTAAATTTGATTATGGGCAATAAAACAGGAAGAGGTGCAGTGCTTTGATAAGGAAAAATAAGATTTATTTATTAAACAATAATAATGTATGAGTTTAACTTATAAATCTGAGGACTTCTAAATTGGAGGATCAATAATTGATCCCTAAATGCCTAATATGGAGATCACGAGATACACAACAAAAAAGTTTCAACCTCTAACTTTTTCTTCAAAATCTTTCATATGCATTATATAAAAGACCTGAAGGGATGCACTAAATCACAAAAAAATGTTGATCTGCTAAATCACAATAAAAAATAGACTAAAGACGATTTAAAAGTATGTCTCTCACTTCTAATATTTATTAAGACAAATTGTCTAAAAAGAATAAAAAATCTAGCTGATGCATTAACTACACTTTAAATTTAGAAATCAAAATTTTGGATGACAGCCAAACGAGCGACAACAAATCTCTTACATACAACAAAAAATCGCAAAAGTAGGATGACTACCAAATAAGCGGTTTTATATTGGACATGACCGACTTTTTGCCGCTCATATTGCAGCCATCCAACTTTAGCTGCCAAATAAGCAAATTTTTATTTCGAAATTTAAAGTGTATCGTCCCCGAAAATACAGGGTGTCCCACGAAACATGAAAGTTGGTGAAAAGTTTTAAATGTCGTCTTTAATACCAAAAAGAATAATAAAATATATCACATGACAATCACATTATAGTAAAATTAATTTCAAAGTAAAATATGTTCCAAAGCAATGTTTGGCCTGATATGACTGCTCCTGATGATTCTAGTGTTCTCATAGATCTAGTTCTAGCAACACAACATCAAATGGTAACTGCATACACTGAGATCCATAAAACTGTGAAATTGGTCGACGAATGTAAGACTCAAGTTATAAGCTTGATTAGTTCAATTACAGGGGATTTTAGATCCAAAACTATAAACACTTGTGCCATTTCTAGCACTGAGTATTAGAAAAAGGCGAAGTGTTATATTTGGAACTAATTTCACCTGAATTAACTTGAAGCACAGAAATTGTGCATGCACTGATGAGAGGGAGGGGGTGCAGAGCAACCATGAGCCCCCTTACTGACCTCCAGACCTATTTTACTCAATATGTTAATTTTACTATTTTCGTCGTCACGTCATCAAAAACATATTAACTTGGTAAAATGTCGTCTTGCTACTCCACAGTGTTATGGGGCCGCACTGCAGCTGTTTATGGAATGCTCTCATATTCAGTTTTGCAAAAAATATATCTTTAATTTTCATTTCTTATTAATAATGAAGGCAGTTACGATTTCTTTTATTATTCATTAAGATTTATATTTGGCATTCATTGTACATGTTGCATACTAGCTGTACATAGCTTTAGGTTTTAATACTGTGTCATTATTTGTAGGAAATTGAAAAAAGTGTATGTCCCATTCTTGTGCATTGCTCAGCAGGGGTTGGACGAACTGGTACATTTATTGCTGTACATAAACTGTACAACGACATATTAAAGGTATTTTTTGGATTACATAAACTGTTCAACGACATATTGAAGGTATTTATTGCTGTACATAAACTGTTCAACGACATATTAAAGAAGGTATGTATTGCTGTACATAAACTGTACAACATGTAAATGTATTCATTGCAGTACATATTTTGTAAAACGATCTATTAAAGGTATTTATTGCTGTACATAAACTGTACAACGACATAAAAAAGGTAATCAATGCTACGTACATGAACTGTATAACACATAAAAGGTATTCAGTGCTACGTACATAAACTGTACATCGACATATTAAAGCTATTCATTGTTAAGTACAGAAACTTTACAACGAAATATGAAATGTATTTATTGCGGTACATAAACTGTACAACGGTATATTATAGGTATTCATTGCTGTACATAAACTGTAAAACGACATAAAAAAGGTAATCATTGCTACGTGCATAAACTGTGCATTGACATACATTTAACCATGATAAACTGTACAACGACATTCGCGCGTGCAACTAGACATTCAGTTAGGGGGGGGGGGGGGCAAATGGCAATTATTTGGCGCATAGCGCAAAAAAAAATGTTGTTCCCCCTATACTCAACCATGAAAAAACTACCTTACTCAATTAAAAAAATATATAGATACATTTTTTAAGCTAAGGGTTATTTTTGTTGTTGGGGGCAAAACTTCTTGATTTTTTTGAGCAATATGCAAATAAAATAAGGGGCGTTTTTTTAGATAGGGTTTTAAATTTTTTTTTTAAAGATCTAAATATTTATTGTCTTATTATTTAAATTGTACAACATAGTTTATATGTGTTCATTAATAAAGCTTAACGACAAATTCGTTTACATTTTCTTTTTGAGAGATTTGTGAAATAATTACAAAATAGTATAGTATACATATATTCATTTTAAAGTTGATTGTATTTATAAAACATTTGGGGATAAATTTAGGCGCAAATTAAAAATATTTGGTGGCATTCTAAAAAACAAAGGTTAAAAATGTTGGATAATGGGGTAAATTTAAGTCTGAAGGGGTAATTGAATAAGAATGTGTGAGTGTAAAATCCCAATTTGGAGCGTTTTTTAAAGAAAGCGGGTAAATAAAAAGAATCTGAGCTTATATTGAAAATTTTTATAGTTGAATTTGAGTTTAGCTTTCGCCATTTTATATGAATTAAGTTTTAACGTTAAATAAAAACCACAAAAATCAAAACAAAAATCTTTCGACATCTTTTATTTTCAGAACCAAATTCCTGATGTATATGAAACTGTTCTAACGATGCGCCGACAAAGAACCACCATGGTCCAGAAGGTATATACTAAGCATTGTTTTATTCTTCATATAGAGCCCAATTTCTTAGTCGTTCTACCAGAACGATTTTGGTTGTGCAACTCCGAAATTGGGCTAATTTCTGTACTTCTTTCGTTTTTTAAAATCTGTTTCTTTAATTTAAATAGTATTATATTCTCCTCAAGTTGTTAATATGGTAACGGCCAAAAAAACTCTTTGAAATTTTTTTTTCGAAAATAAAGTCCTAAATTTTGAGACTTTATTTTCTCGGACTTCTTTTCTGGTTCCAGTATGATTTCATACAAAAAAGTCTTCGGAAAAAAGTCCTCTTATGGTGGAAAATGCCTGGGAACAAAGGATGTTTACAACCCTGGAAAAAAGGGCCTGGTAATAAAAACATATCGAGGTATGTTCAATATGCAGATGTATAGAAGAAAAGTCCTTTTTATAAAAACGTCTCAGACTTGACCTTATTTTCCCAAAACTTTTTTCTTCGGATTTATCTTCTTTAAGACTTTTAATTCCTGTGACTTTATTGCCAGCCCCTATATTATTCTAGGAAAAACGTCCCTGGAGTCTAAAACTCGGGACTTTATTTCTAGTAATATTTTGTCCAAGCAGTTCAGAAAATAGGGACTTTTTTACCAAAGTTTTGATTTCCAGAAACATTTTTTCCTGTGCGTATGCATTACAGGACTAATATGCACAAATAATACAAATGATA